GAAGCTATTGAATAAACCTGAAATTATCTTCTACTAAACAATTGTTCTAAAAGCAAAAAATATGCCTCAAAAGACACATGCATTATAATTGTTAAGCTTATTTGTTTTACGTGCAAGTTAGTACGGAGGTTTTGGAAAAAACACAGCAAGAAGTGAAACCTGTGGTTAAAACTGAGGGCTCAAAGTCAGGCTGTTTGTGAAACTGCAGTTAAAAGCATCCAGACAGAAATCTTTCGAATATCCAAAATAAAACTACCTTCACAGCAGTAGTTGTGCCCATTATTATAAATAACATCAATGTTTTCCCTTTATTTATTCAAGATCATAATGAACATCATACATTTTGTATACACAAATGTTCACATCAGACATATCAAGTAATAAAACATTTCATAAAAGACAAATACAGTTTAATATTTCGGATTACATCATTTTGTTAAATACAAAATTTGTTATGATTGCCTTTGTATTGACTGTTTTTAATAGTGCTACTATATTGTTTTGGATTATTGGTAAAAATGTTTTTAATTAGTTTTGGAGTCAGCCCATCTCTTTTTATGAATAAGACATTTCATAAAATATAATATATAAACTGTACAAAAAATAAAATCTGCGTCCATACGATCACCTTGGAAGTAGCCTATGTAAAGAATGTCTCTATCCTGGAGTTGTAGGGGAGACCAGGGACAGTTGCAACACTTTTTGGGCTTATATTATACATTATCAATATGTCAGCTACTGAAAGAATGTATTTAAGATCTTTTTATGAAATAAGTACAGGTTGGAAAATGTTTTGTTTTTTTTAAAACTCAACTGTTACAACTGTCCTTGTGTACAGGGACAGTTGTAACACATGCCAGGCACGGTTGTAACATGTTAATAACGGTTACCTTTTTTCACACTACATGACAACAAATAGGGAAAGCTGTCAAATTCTAAGGCAACAAGATTTTAAATGGGGTTTCACACATCCTCCATCAAACAATGAACAATGAACAGAACTTAAAACAGAACACCAGAATTAATCAGATTCACAGTTGTGGCAGGCAGGGGCGGACTGGGGGGAAAAAGTGGCCCGGGGATTCATTGACAGACAGGCCCACTTAATGCGCGGCATGTATCGGCCGGCCGGCGACGAAAGTATGTAACTTAACAAAAAACCCTATGCATTTTATGTTATTTTGGACCATTATTCATATAGTAATCACATTACCTGAGCCCTTGAGTTGCCTAGAGCAAAATAGTTACAGCATATATTTAGTGATTTTAATGTTAACAGATCTTTGATGCAATAACATTTGGACCCAATTTGCCTGACTTGACACATGGAATAAAACATAGGCGTAGGAAGCATCCTCAATGTGGGTGAGACAATTTAACAGGGAGTGTGGGCAGGTGGTGGACCTAACCTCCTCTAGGGGGGTCCGGGGGCATGCTCCCCCGGGACGATTTTTGTTTTAAATGTTAAAGTTAAATGCATCAATCTGGTCCATTTTGAGAGCAAAATTAGGGACTAAATCTATGGATACATCTCTCAACACCCATATGAACAGATTTACTTTTTCTTTCAACATTTGCGGCGGTGGGGGGTGTGTGTCTACAGAAGGTCCAGTTGTGATAGACACGGTTCGCCACTGCTGTATACACAAACTATACAAAAACGCCTTTACGTTTTGGAGCTTGTTTATCCATCTGTAAGCAACTGCCAGCTAGGTCTCTCAGTCACTCACCCCTCCAGGGAGTGGCCGGAACACTTACAAATGTGGGCCGGTAGGATTTGCTGTGCAGTCCTTGTGTGCCCAGGCTTTACAGGAGCAACACTGCAGCCAAATCTCCTTGGACCTGGAGTAGCTCTCCAGGCACACAATGCAGTATTGGGCCTTGTGCAGCTGACCGTTGAGCGGCCCGACCAAGCAAGGAGGCAGAAGCAGATAATTCAAATATAACCCAGTGTGGGCATTTATTCATCGCTGTGGTACAGGATACACAGCCTCAATATTGCTGCCCAGGTGAACACAGTCACCAGCCACAAGGATCTCACCCACACTACCAGCCTTCACCAAACAGGAAACACAGAGCCTAAATACACACCCACTAATCAGCAATTAGACACAGGTGGGGGGGGGGGGGGGGGGAGACAACACAGGGCACCAGGTGAACATAATCAGGAGTAACAGAAAGAACGGGAGGGGGAACTCTTTTCAAAATAAAAGACATGTGCAATATACAAGGCCCGAAACCGTTAGTCCACAGTGACGAAGTTACCTTCGTCACAGGCCTCATCTTCATCAGATGAGTCCTGCATCTTCTCCTTCTTGTTTGTTGTTTTTGTTGCAGAAATTGATTTTTGTCTTCGCTTTAGACTTCTTTGCGTTTGATCTTTTTTTCTCAGCCTCGAGTAGATTTTTTATAGGAGTGTCTGTGAGGACAGCGGTTTCTCTTGTGTTTCTCCTCTTTGTGGTCTGCTTCCTTGGTCCAGCTTTTGGATGTGGACGGATGGACATGGGTGAGAAAATCTGTTCACTATAGGCCTCAATATATTTGATCACTTACTTTTCTTTTGTTCTGTATAGATAGCCTATTCTACCTTAATTATGTAGACCTAACTCCTTCGAGCTGAGACCATAATATAAATCAGCTGCCTCCATCAGGTAGTCTCTCAAAAGCATCTCCTGCTCTGTTGAGAACACCTTCTTTGGTGTCTAGTAGCCTACTCTTTGGGGTGTTTGTGATCCCTGACTCTTCAACCTCAGCCTCCTCTTATGGAACCGGTACAAGGTGACATGGCATATATCCAGGGACTTTGCCACTTCCCTGAAGGATTCGCCCTTCTCAACTTCATTTGAGGCTCTCTGCAGCAGAGCAAGTGGCACTCCCCTGTCTGTCTTCCTCTTTCTGACATTTGGCATACTGTAAACACACACACACACACTTTAGGCCTACTGTACAGTATTATATTCTGTTTACTTTTACAGGGACAATGCACACCAATCAACAATACAACTGTATGCTTGAATGAACAATTGATCATTCAAGCAAATGAGCCATCATTGTAAATGTGCCATGTTACAACCGTCCTGTTACAACCGTCCCAGGACCACCAGTCTTGCTTTCACCCCCTGTGAACCTGCCTGATTGTTAGCTTGACCCATATTTAGCTAGTTATATTTGTAGCTTACAAAACAGTGATTCTAATAATACTAGTTTGGATTCCTAGACATTTGAACTCAAGACAGTATCCAAAAACATACATCATATAATTGTAGTTAATATTTAACCTCAGAAACACACTTTTGCTGATATCTTACGCGAGAAATTCAAACGTGGCTCCTTTTTGTTCTCAGCGATCTTACCATCTAACTGCGCATGTGCAGAGTGAGTGTTATCACTCTAGCTTGTTTGTGATTGGAGATATTGAAGGTCATATAAAGAAAAGGGCAACAGACTATGTGTCAGTATCCCTATGGTCAGTATACAGTACACCACAGAGTTGTTGGCATTGGTGTTGTCATTGAAATGGATAGAGGAGAAAGTAATAGTGTAATTGCATCAGACAGCTATTCAGCATTATCAAGTATACGATCAGGCAGATCTTCATTTAGAATGGACATAATAAATAAAATATTTCTAATTTTATATAAAAAGCAAAACAAAGGCATAGCAACTCGTTTCATCTGGGTTCCTGCTCATGTTGGTGTGGAGGGTAATGAACAGGTGAATATTCTGGCCAAACAAACATTCAGAATTGTGAACATAGACATAGAAGTTCCACTCAGCAAAGCGGAGGTTAAAACATTCATTCAGAAATATGCACAAACAATATAAAATTCAAAGGTATGTGGGGGATGGAAGGAAGGTAGGGTTTAAAAGAAGGGAGGAAAATGTCATTTCTCGGATGAGAATAGGTCATACAGGTCTCAATCATACATTAAGTATAATAGGAAAGCATCCAACCGGAAAGTGTACACACTGTAGCCAGCCAGAAACTGTTGAGCATGTTTTACTGCTTTGCAGGAAATATAGTACTCAGAGAAATGTGCTTTTCCACACACTGGAGAAAGCAAAATTCCATGACTTGTCGCTATCAGGGCTGTTAGGGAAAACATCAGGCAATATATATTGTGAGATTATTACGTTTCTAAGAGAAATTGATCAATTTAAAATAATCTAGAGTTTTGGTTCTATGTTTTGTTTTGTTTCTTTTGTTTATTGTTTTCTGCATAGTCTCTTGTCCACACTCCAGTCCAATTGGTGGCGGTAATGCACCTACAAGTTGGTTTGCCAACCGCCAATAAACACTAAAGAAGAAGATATTGAAGGTGTTACAACCATAGATATATATATAAACCATAGATATAATTTATAAATATATCTATGGTTACAACCGACCTGTGTTGCAACTGTCCCTGGTCTCCCCTACCGTTTGTCCCGTTTTGCTTTTAAAATATTCTACCTCATGCCACATTTTTATTTGTCATAGAATGAATGGCAAATACTTCCTTTTTCTGTTTTACTGTACAATACTATTGAATATCCAGTGTAAATATTTGCAGTGTCTTTATAAATCACACCTCTTCTCTTTAAATTCATTTCTCAGGTGAGCGTCACCTTTGGACTCTGATGTCATGACGCTTCCTGTGTGCATGACAACAGCAGCGCCTCCACTGCCAGCAGTCTGTTGACTCGATCAATGTAACGCATGCTGCCCTTTTCTTTCCCTTTTTTATCCAAGTTTTATGAAGCGGCAGTTAACCAGCCATGGTTCCGAAGAAGCCGCACGCATTGTTGCTGTGGATGCTGGTCTGCTCCGGCGGCTCGACGGAGGCGATCGAGCCCATCAGCACCAGCATCGCGGTGGGCATGGCCGCGGCTCTCACCGGGTTTTTAGCTACCTACCCGAACATTTTCTACTACTTCAACGAGTGCTGTCGACCCGAGTGGATTTCTTTAAACAAGACAGGTAACAAACTGGTATTCGGCTAACATTAGCAACCATTTTGTGTGGTCTTGTGAGGAACTAAACTATAATATAGATAGATTGAAATATACTTTATTAATCCCAAATGATGTGGTTACACCAGCAGTGTTGTCAAGCATTACAGGTGTTTGAAAACAGAGTTACACATATGTAAAGATGCAATGAGATGCATATGATAAAATAAACATTTGCAGCAAATATATAACAATTTAGCCTACATTAGCAGCAAGTATATATACACATTTACAATAGAAAGGACATATATCAGACGTATCTAAATAATACACAATAAAACGAAAATATTGAATACATTGAATACTCTAAGCTAAATAATAATAACAATATCAGCGAATAGTTTGACGTTAGTCGCATCTTTCACATCATACGTTAGCTAAACAAATAGCTAATCCGCACAAACGTATATGTGGCCAACTGTCATACTTGTTATATCTATTTAACATCCTTATTAAACGTCTCAAACATTTCTTATGTGATTTTACCAGAGCTTGTGTTTGTCGCATGATTATGACGTTTGAGGAAGTGCCCCGTTGTAAGAATCTAGTAAGCTACAGTTAGCTGTTAGCCTAGCCTGCTGGTGTAGCGCGGTTTGCACCATGCTATTATGATTGTTTTAACGCAGAACAAACACTAATGTCCGGGAATACGCGGTTTCGACGATGAAAGCGACACACTTGTATTTGTTGTTGCATGTTTTTTTGTCGACCAGTGTTCTGGTGAGCACATTTGAGCCGTTCTCAACAGCGCTGGTTGTGGGTATCGGTGCTACTCTGGGGCGGACCATCTACAATTATTTACATGAAAGTTGCGATCCTAAATGGATAGCTCTAAATGCAACAGGTGAGCATGCACATGTGTATATCATTTGTTTTTATAACTATCCGAAGGAACAACCTTTTCTAATGTTGACTATATTCAAATTAACGTGCAGCCCTGATGATAATGAAAGTGGGTTTGTGTATCCTCAAAACCGGGGGAGGGGTACAAATATTCCCAAATCTAATTCTAACAATAAACAACGTTTGTCTGGAAGACCTTAAACACAATTTAAGTTCAATATTTCATTCAGATGCTGGGTTTTATTGCGGAGGTTGGTCACCTCGTCTGAATCAAAGGCCACATCAGCAAAGTGGTGCACCTTACACAAATAGTGCACTTTAAAAGAGGTAGACATTTTTAAAATAGTTAAAATGTATATTGTTAGAATTATAATTTCCCTCCGTGATATAGTGGAGTAGAAGTGTTAAGTAGTATACAATGGAAATACTCAAGTGTAGTAGTAGCTTTACTGCAGCTTGATAACCATTCCTAATAACATTATTGTTGTTGCATTCTTTTTCAAGCTCATGTTCGGATCTCGATTACATTAAACACCATGATAAATGTCAGCCTTTTTCCAGTCACTAATCGTGTTGATCCTTTCCAGGTCTCAAGGTTGACCTGGACAGGAAACTGTTCGGACAGCACATTGCGTCACGCATCATCCTCAAAGCTGTGAGTGGATTCATGAGCAACGACAACCCAAAGAAGCCCTTGGTGCTCTCACTGCACGGATGGACCGGCACAGGGAAGAACTTTGTGAGTCAGCTGATTGCTGACAATGTTTACAAAGAGGGAATGGACAGCAGCTTTGTTCATATCTTCACGTCTGAACTCCACTTCCCACATGCGAGTCAACTTGAAACCTACAAGGTATGAGGGAGAATCCAGATGAGATAGAACCCAGTTACTTTAAATCAACCCAGTGACATTCTTACGTATGGTCTTTCATATCAACAAGCTACATTTTCTCCTCAGTCTCAGCTGCAGCAGTGGATCAAAGGAAATGTCACCAACTGTGCACAATCCATGTTCATCTTCGATGAGATGGACAAGATGCATCCCGGCTTGATTGACAGCATAAAGCCGTATCTGGATTACTACGACAAGCTGGATGGAGTTTCTTATCGGAAAGCCATCTTCATCTTCCTCAGGTGAGAAGCTGAAAGCACTCCCTTATTCTGACCTGTAAGACATTTTGATTTGAACCATAGAAATCAATCAATGCTTGTCTCTTTGTAGATACAAATTAATAGAAAGAACTGGAAAGCAAAATGTTTGCGCAATAATTCAGTGATATTAAATAAAATTCCAGCAGGATTTTGATGTGGTATGTTATACTCCGGTTCAACATCGATGATTTAAGAGTTGTTTGGATTTACAATGACATAAACCTTTTTATGCATTCAATTGAGACTTTATTGCATCAGTAGGCATGTTGGGACTACAAGCTAGTATTTGCATCATGCAAAATCAACAAACTAGTGACACTTAAATGTGTTTAAACTTTTTAAGCAGTGTTTTTTTTTTTTATGTTGAATGTTTGAGATTCACTGAAGAGAAAACCAATTTGAAATCGTTTTCTGCTGCTCTCAAAGGAAATTCTAAAACGTTTCCTGTCGTTGATCCTTCTCTTAGTAATGCTGGAGGGGAGAGCATCACGCAGACGGCTTTAGACTTCTGGAAAGCAGGACGAGATCGAGAAGAGATCGAGCTGAGAGATCTGGAAACATTGCTCTCTCTAGCGGTGTTCAACAACAAGAAAAGTGAGTAGAAACACAGATAAATGCACCTCATTGTTTGTGGTCTTACATTACACAAAAGTCTTTTTTTAATTATAAAACAGCGCAACACTGTGCATGAACCGCTAGAGCCCCAATCATTATCATTCAGAAACTACGTTTGATAGAAAACATAGATTCTAGTTCTTCTCTAAGTATCTTTTAATCTCCTCTTCTAGGTGGCCTGTGGCATACAAGTTTGATTGACAAGAACCTGGTGGACTTTTTCGTCCCGTTCCTTCCTCTGGAGTACCGACACGTGGTGCAGTGTGCCATGGCCGAGATGATAGCCAGAGGACATCAGCCGGACCGGAGCGTGGCCGACCAGGTGGCCCGAGACGTCGTCTACTTCCCCAAAACAGAGAGAGTTTTCTCTGTAAAAGGCTGCAAGACGATAGAAAGCAAGCTGGACTACTACATATGATGTCAGCAACTCTTAGACGCTGTGCTCGATCACTATGTGCACTTTTTAAAAAGACAAAACTCTCAGCCAAAGGACTACAGAGAGGGAGTCAGGCTGATGGAGGAGGATTCTCTGTCTGGCCTTGTGGTCATGTTGAGGATTTCAGCAGGCCTTCTCAAATGTTCCATATCACTTCCACTGAATGCTGAGGCCAACGAAGGACTACAGCGCCAACAAAATACGACTGGAACGCTCTCCTTTTAAGTGATTTAAGGAGCTTGATCTCTTCTTCATGTCTCACCACAGAGACCTAAAGGCGCTGTCGTTTTCCTGAGAGCTTCTTAATGACTACAGGGTCCTTCTGTCCGTGGCTTTTTTTTTATGTGTACTGGAAAAACCTGCCTTAATTCTTTTCAATTTCACAATTTATTTTTATGTTAGATCTGTTATTTTACCCATGTCCACTGTACTAGTTTGGCCTTGGTCACTATTCAAAAAAGAAATGCATAATGCACAAGACTGTTTATATTTATCATATTAAATCGAACATGATTTCTGTAATGTGCAGCCCCTTTTAATATCTAATTTAGTTCATGTGATTCGTATGAGTAATACGCACTGTAGTTAAATATTACCAGATTGACTCCATGACTGGACTCTGGCTGCATTTGGACACTGTATGAACTCGGGAGGATAGGACACGCATTTTTACCAACATTGGATTTTTTTAATTCTTAAAATTGGATACCGTTTAGATTCCACATTTCAAATGATATTGTATATCAAAGTTGATTGTTTAATTACTTTTGATTTAAAATTCAGCTCAGAGGTTTCTTACCAACTCCAATTCTCTATTATAATTTATAGTTCTGAAATCGGAGCAAGTCATACATTGTTGTGGAAGAAAATGTTCAAGTGGTTTCTCAAAATCTGACTATTTGAAGAAAAAAAAAAGATGAAATGAAATGTTTTCTATGTAATTGCTCACAATGACATGCAGGTGAAGGACCTTTTTATGGACTGTGAAAAGAACATTGTTTGTTTTAGTGGATGGAAAGCCAACACTTGCTCAGTTTCTCTGCTGTAAACACACCGGACAAACAAATCACAAATAAAACATGAACTTTTCCTGGTGTCAACGTTTCTTATGCATGAGGGAACAATCAATAGAATGAGCTATCTGTTAATTGGCTTTTTTACTGAGTAAAGGTACCAAAACGGTAGAGCGGTTTCCTTTCTAATATGCATGAATATTTGAAATTACATGAAAGAACTGTATAATGTGATTTATTTGTACAGAAAAGCAAAAAGAATCTGTAATTTTCATGCGATTCTTTTTCTTCATACAATGTACCACACTTTATTAATCCAGTGTGTCCGCGGGGTCTTAAAAAGTATTAAAAGTTGATAAAAATCAATTTAGCGAAAATGAAGGCTATTAAACGCCGAGTGCCGGGCAGGAATCCAACAACTCCTGCACCGCCTCCCTCCACGGTTCACCGTTCGGTTCTCCCCTCCCTCCTCTCCCCCGGACGAGGGAGACAGAGTCGGAGCAGGGTGCCAGCTTGGCGGCCGAACATGCTTTCCCCCTCTCCGTCACCACAGCGCTACCGGCGATAGGTGGCATCCTAGGGGAACTGCCGGAGATCATACGCAAGGCGGCCGCCTGCAGAGATCTCCCCGTTCCCCTAGCTTAGGAGAGGTGTGCTCCGGACGACATAACCGGAGACGGTCAAGTGTGACCCGATCTGGCCACGCTTCCCGGCCATCAGGAGGTTCCAGGAGGGGGCGGCGGCGAACCTGAGGACCCTGAAGGCTCCGGTGGCCACATTTGTTCCCCTCACCAAGGTGGAGGGGTTCACACATGCTGGTTTCCCAGCCACCCCTTGTCTGGAGCCGAGCCTGACGGCGTTTTTTGGGTAAGACAGGCCAACATAATCTCCGTCAGACTCGCCCTTCGGCGGCTGCAGGGGCTCCGTCCCACGTCTCCGCTCCCCCGCCACCCCATGAACGCCGTTATAACGCCTCATGTGGACAGCACTGCACACACCTCCACTCATCCCCTGAGCGTGTACACGCCTCATGATGACAGCCGGAGTGAAATGCAGCGTGTGGATGCTTCCTCGCAGCCCTTTCGCCTCACGGGCAGTGTCGGCGAGGACAATGGCGTGGCTCGTCACCATGACGACCATTACGGCACATCACAGAGAAGCCAGAACGGGGGAATGAGCAGTATTCCAGGCTGAGTGCTCCCAGCGGCAGCGCCCGCAGCGCCACGGCGTCAGGGCTCGCTGTAGAAGCCTGCCGGTTTTAACCTCGGTTAATAACCTGCAGAGCTCGCGGCATTCCTCTGTCCGAGATACGCCTCCTACACACGGTCATAATAAACCCATGACCGCCGTTATAACGCCTCGTGTGGACAGCACTGCACACACCTCCATCCATCCCCTGAGCGTGTACACGTCTCAAGATGAGAGCCGGAGTGAGACGCAGCGTGTGGAGGCTCCCTGGCATGGCTCCCCCCCCCCCACAGTTCAATGGGATACAGGAAACACTCGCTATTCATAGCCTGGGGGACAACAAGCCTTCCGACCACATGGAGATGATGCTCAGCCTGCTGGGTACGGAAGAACCACATGTTTTGTTCATAGAACTGTTTCTTCGGCACATGCCGCCGCATGTACAGACAGCATGTACAGGGCTATTACTGAGCCCCGCGCTTTGGCCGAAGAAGCCGACCGGTTTTTCCTGGCAACACAGCGTTTTACCCCGGAGGTGCTGGCCCCGAAACGCAGCGGTACCTTCCCTGGTAAGAGGCATGCCACCTAGCAGAAGCTCCGGGGCCGACGTCAGCAACTCCAGCCCTGGCCTGTGTTATTACCATGCACGCTACGGGGCGAAAGCGAAGATGTGACGTCCCCCCTGCACCTACAAAGTAACGGGAAACGCCAAGGCCTGCGCTCGGTAGTGGCCGCGAGCGTGGGCACATCCAACCGGCTCCTGTTCATCAGGGACACCCTCTCTGGTCGCAGACTCCTTTGTGACACAGGAGCCCAGCGGAGCGTCCTGCCGGCTACCGTGGAGGATGCCGCCGGTGGAGGCCACGGCCCACCTTTAACGTCCGCTAACGACACCCCTATTCACACCTATGGCACAAAGACAGTGGACCTGTGCTTCGAGGGTCAGCGGTTTAAGTGGGATTTTGTCACGGCTGACATCTCCTTCGCCCTCCTCGGCGCAGACTTCCTGTGCGCTCACGGACTGCTGGTGGACGTCAAGAACAGCCGCCTGGTGGACGCACTGACGTTTGCCTCGTTCACGTGTACCCGCGGCGAGGCCTCATTCAGCGGGCTCTCCAGCTCACTCTCACAGGGCGACAAGTTCCAGCACCTTCTCAGTGAGTTTCCCGACTTGACGCAGCCCACCTTTTCCGCTGCCACTACCAAACACGGGGTAGAGCACCACATTGACACTGAAGGCCCCCCTGTCTACGCTAGGGCCCGGCGGATCAACCCTGACATGCTGGCCAAGTCGGAGTTCGTCAACATGGAGCGTCTGGGCATCATCTGCCGCTCAGACAGCCCTTGGGCTTCGCCGCTTCACATGGTCCCTAAATCAGCCGGTGGCTGGCAACCGTGGGGTGACTACCGCCGCCTTAATGACGCCACTACGCCAGACCGCTACCCGGTCCCTCACATCCAGGACTTCTCTGCACACCTGGCGGGCAAGGATCTGGTGCGGGGCTACCACCAGGTTCCGGTGCACCCCTCGGACGTCCCCAAAACTGCGGTAATTACGCTGTTTGGGCTTTTCGAGTTCCTGCGTATGCCGTTTGGACTTAAGAATGCAGCTCAGTCCTTTCAGCGGCTGATGGATTCAGCGCTCAGAGACATGGCATTGATCTTCGTCTAAAATTTTAGACGACATCCTGGTCGCCAGCTCCTCCTCCGAAGAGCACCAGGCACATCTCCGGGTCCTTTTCGCGAGGCTCAGCCAACACGGCCTGATTATCAACCCGGCGAAGTGTCAGTTCGAGTTGTCCTCCATCCATTTCCTCGGGCACCTCATCAGCAAGGATGGGGCCGCCCCCCTCCCGTCGAAAGTGGAGACCGTGTCTGCCTTTCCACGACCGCCTACAGCTCGGGTGCTCCGAGAGTTCCTCGGGATGGTGACGTTTTATCACGTCAGGGTCACCAATGTAGTGCCGAGAGACGGGAGTCGGAGGCGGGGTATCGAAGGTACAAGCTAGACTTTTATTTAGCATCTGAAAACACATGTAAACAACTTCATGACCGGGAAGCGAAGACCGGCGGAAACAGGAAGTCCGGTTCAATAAAATGTCCGTGCAGAACAATACCCCAACCCATAGATCCGTGGGTGAATAATGTCAATCACCACAGTACTTTGATTAAATGACACAGTCGTTGCACTTTTTTCAGTGCATCTGTCAAAGCCTGGGTTTCATAATAAATTGGATGAAGAGCTGTCCTCTTCCCTCTCAGACAATCGTTTATCTGGGAGTGGAATTAAACTCAGCCAGCATGAGAGCGCGGCTCTCGCGGCAGCGAGTGGAGGAACTGACAGCTCTCCTCCGGCGTGTCACAACCATCGACTGTGGTCACAACCCACACAGCCCTCTCCGTGACGCAGCTGCTCGGCGTTGGCGTCAGCTGGTCACGTGGTGATCCCCTTGGGTCTCTTCCAACAGGGGGACACTCCAGAGGTGGTTCATTCGCTGCAGAAGCCTGCTGTTTTTAACCTATTGGTTTATAAACTGCAGAGCTCGCGGCATTCCTCTGTCCCAGATATACCCATGGGAGCCTGCCTGCAGACCTCCACTCTCAGGACAGTTCCGGTGCAGACCTCCACTCTCAGGACACCTCCACTGTCAGTACAGGAAGTGACGATTCTGACGCGTTTTTTTTCCCGCCCACCGAAGGACTCGTTTGATGGAAGTTTTCAAATCACAATGGAGACTCATCAGTTTTTCGCTCAAATTACACCATGGAGGAATGTAACGGGAGTTGACAGGGGACTCTGCCCGCCTCACGAGTGCCTATATTCGGACACTTTTTTTTCACTTTTCCCCGGTTTTATTATTTTATTTTTTTTTGGCTATTTCACCCGGTTTCTACCGGGGACATTGTCCAGCCCCCCCCCCCCCACACTCATCCATATATTAACGGATTTTGACAATTTTTGTTGCATTTTTCTCTTCTCCTCTCACTGATCGAATGGCAAACGCGACCCACTGTCGGAGGGCCTCCGCGCCGGCCCGGCCTAGTTCCGGTGCTCTGGCGGTCGGTTCCTCCGAACTGCGGGTTCGACTCTGATGGCCGGGAGGGTGTACTGCGTTGGGGTGGGGGACGCCACTCTGCGTGTCTCTTCCTTCCCGGGCTGGCCGATATGAAGCGTGACCAAGACGCACCGTACAGGGGTCCCACGGGTCCTGCAGCGGGGTGAAGGTTTCCAGCTGGAACCTCCCCACCTCCGCCGCGGTGCACCCGGCAAACACGGTTGTTTCTCGAACCTTCCACTGTTGTCTAGCGGGTGTAACTAAAATACAAGATGTCGTATTTATATATATAAATAAATATATATCTCTATATAGATAATAAGTGTCAGTACGATTTTATTTTGTATTTGCGTGCATTTCCTGTTCGGAAAGTGGCGCTGCGGCTGTACTGATAGTAACAACAATACAAGGTGTCCGTATATATCAATATATATATAGATATATACATATGTATATAATAAGTGTCACGATCCGTCAAGATCCGATTTTATTTTGTATTTGCGTGCATTTCCTGTTTGGAAAGTGGCACTGTACTCATAGTGATGATTTTATTTTGGAATTCTTAGCGTGCACTTCCTGTCCTGAGAGTGGAGCAGTGGCGAGCCGTGACTTTTATACCTAGGCCCTCTGACCCCCCTTCCCTCGAAAAAAAATAAGAGATATTACGTCACAGCGTATACTTCAGCGGAATATCAAAACAGAGGCCCGGGGTGCAAAACGCATCAATGACAGTGACCCTCTACCACACAGAACAACACCATTTATATAAACACCTATCATGACAGGGCACCCACAGCCAAGTAACAATTACAAATGAATTAAGTCGGCACGG